AGACTATCGCGAGGTAAAGCAACCATCGATTTAGTGATAATTTAAAGCTGTAATAACTTAACGCGCATGTCGTGTCGCTGCGAGGAGCCTTGTTTATCACGTTTGATTTATCCGCGTTGTCTCAAGCCGCACTTAGGAAACTACGCGAATTTTTCATTTTGTCTCTCTCGTCGGTAAAAATGCTTCGTAGATATTTCACTGTTCAATAATAAATGCAAATCGACGTTCGTCGTTTAAACGCTCGACTAATATCTTCGTAATGCATCAGCGCAGCTCGATTTATCCGCAAATCCGAGAGATTCGATGCACTTTTATTCATACGATTCAGATCGCTCGTAACTCGTTTCGAAACGAGTCGAAAAACAAAACGTTTATTTGGAAACCGCGCCATACTTTTCGTGACCAAATTTGCGAAAACTAGTCTTTCTACGCGGATTAACTTTTTAAGACAGGCCGTATGAGTCGCTGAATCGGGCGATTAGATTGTAACTCTCCTTGGAGGTTGAACACCGTGCAATTTCTCGACAACATGCGGACAATCTTGTGTCGTCAGTCTCGTTAACTTCATCGTTATTATGCATTACGTGCAAGGACACAAACCCGGCGCGTTGTTCTGCAATAATGGTAAATAGCTGCAAGTAGAGCATATCGAGGCATCATCGGGCTCAAACGATGTCCCAGTATGTTGGAACTTTCATCAGCAATGTAATCTTCTTAGAAGCGATATCCTGTGTGTTAATAATCGTCAGTGTTGTAAACTAACCGAGTCGCTTTCGTCTTGAACGCGTTGATCTTATTATCGTACTTGCATAAATTAAATAAGACGTAACTCAATTTTATCATAATTTGCTTCACGAAAACATGTGAACACGACGTTGAATTATATTGTCTGAATTTATAGAAAGATCGTCCATCTGAATAATGAATTTCATGCAACGTATGTAGCATTTTTTAATTGCTTCGAATTCTGCGGCCGACATTCTTGCGCCAGTATACACGAAGTAACGTTGTTGTTGCAACACTGACTGATGTAATACTGCAATATGGACCGATGCAGAAAATTGACTACCCGGAATTACTTACATCGCACGCCAGTTTTTTTTTTTGTCACTGCTCTCGACAGCATGTGCATATGTATTCGGCAATCGGCGTTCAATCGGATGCTTTATAATCTAATACGAATTATGCAATACGCGTGTCCCGGTAGGTAAATGGTTAACAACGTTATATGCCGTTGAGAAAAAGTTTTGCTTTCCTGTATCATGCGTTTAATCGGTGTGACTCACAATTAGCTGCGTAATGCCAACGGCTATTTAAACAGTACCACTGCACCGTCCTTACGCAATGAATAATACTACATGTACGTAATATTGTAATATGGCGTAATAGTTCTGCACCGGTCGATAGTCTAATGATTATGAATCTAGCGTATGGTATGTTTGAGAAGAAATTTACCATCGTATGTAATAGCATGTAATTTCTGAACAAGAATTTAGTATAATCTGCCGTCAATTTATATTTGTATATACTTGAGTTATCTTCTTACTTAACTTAATTTGAGATTAATCGTGTATAATGATAACTTATGGTATTTTATTACTCTTGTAATTTCATGTCGATAAAATGATGAATAAAAGCAGATATTTATGAATGAACATTAATAGCATTATATATGTGAATATGACAGGTCAATAATCGCTTCGTCTGACAACGTTTCATTTACATGCGTAATATGAAAAGGATGCGGTTAAGATAATCGCGTTGAATCAATGAAATATGCATTTCTTCAAAATGCAGCTCGAACATGAAAACGTAAAGCATTGGGGATCGCATGTCCGAGATCGCGTGCAATTTATTACGCTATACATAAGACATTTGCCGCTTTTGCCGCGATAGCGGCAAATGTCTCGTTCTTATTAGGCGCAGTGAGTTTTCAGCTGACCGGGAGTTATGCAATTTACATAACATTTATGGCAAAAGTCGGCATGCATTACGATAACGAATGCCGCAAGGGACACGGCGGAGACGGGAATTAGAAAAGAGTAATGGTGACACACGTTAGCAGTTGCGTTGTCGCGTCGCGTCGCGTCTATGCAATGAACACTTGCTCAATTTGACATCCATGATACCCGGCTGTTTGCATTTGTCTTGTTTGCCGGACACTACTAGATCGCACGAGTGTCATTATGCAACGCGATTGACGTTCGTACATACACATTGCAATTCCCTCCTTTCGATAGATGAGCGACGCAAGTGAAACGCAACCGCGAAAGTATGCTAAACAACGTTTGGCACTGATTTCAAATAGTCGCTCGCTAAGTTTTCCTCGAGCGGGCGCAAATTAGAAAACTTGGTGTGAAAGGAAAGCAAGGAAAGAAGACTCTCTTCGATAAGTTCTCTGTTCTTTTGGCGCGTGTCGTGCGGTACATACCTACGACGACGATGTAAACTTTGCTCTCTCGGGCTTCCTTCCAAATTAGGAAATAGTACGTACTAAGGATGTCCAGCTAAGGTGTATCGAAGTTACCTAACAGATAAACTAAGTTAAATTGGAAGCATTCGCTTTCATAAATAATGGATTCTTGATTGAGTTTGTGAGATTTTGTTTATTTGCTTAACTCTTAGCTATGCGAAACGTACATATACCAGTAATTTATATAGGAACTAAGCTTTTCCTCTTGTAAATACGTAATCGTTGGCCTAAATACATGGCGTGAAATATATGGCAATGCTACCTATCATCCGAGAACTGTCTCATAGTATTGATTCATTGCCACGGCATAATGTGAGGTCGGGCAAACACTACATATATTCGCGGGCTTGCGCGATTATACCGCTTATACTCGTGGCAATTAAGCGTTCACGTGTGCAACACACTTTCTTTTCGCGGGTGTACCGCTTACGCGCTCACGTAACTGGTCACGTCAGATGCGCATAAATCGTATTTCACGTGCAACTATCTCGATCGCATAATAAATAATCTATCTGGCGTGGCGATCTCGTTCGTTCGAGTCGATTAAAAAACGGTAATAACACCGCGCGCGCGAAAAAGTACAATTTTCAATCAGAAAGCGCGTAAAATGCAAGAGTATTTTTCCACGTTTCGAAAGACGGGAGGTTCGTGCCTTTCTCCGTAATATATTCCGGTTAACGAGGCTCCGAACTTCGCGTGTATATAACCAAAGTTTTGACTGCAGTAATCCGTGGTCGAAATTAACCAATCCCGCGGAACTCTTGCTTTCACCCGCACGTTAGAGATATCGCGCGACATAACTACTGTCGTGGATCGAACTTTTCGAATGCCCGAACTGTTAGTGTAGGTACATGTACGTGGACAATATTCCTCGGTCTTTCGGCTCAACGCAGTTTCTAACGTTTAAGCTCTCGTCAGAGAGCTTAAACTAATTTCCACTCGTACATTTAGAAGTATAACTCGTTTATATAGCTGGCTATTTTAATCCTATCAGATTCACAGTTAATTCGATCGAAAGAATTTCTGTTAAAAATACAAAATATACAGTATAAAAACAAGATTAACTTCTTCATATACATATAAAAAAATATGAACAATTTATGAAAAAAGTTTTTCTCTATTTTTGCGATATATTAAAGATAATAAACTCGCAGATTTTTGCTGTTGAGAATAGGTGAATGCTATCAAGCGTTTTAGGGTTTACTAAGAGGCGTTTTTAAAGGGAACTGTATATGTAGTGTATGTATACATTGTCACCGCCTGATTCCAGCTTGCTTTATTTTCGAGGATTACGAGGGAGCTTGTAATTAATTTCTTTTTAAGCTCACTGTAGGGGCATGCGTATAACTACGACGATTTTTATCTTGTCTGCGTCGTACATGAATTCGTTACTTAAAATGTAATGATCCTCTGCAGTGTTGCGTTGTGTAATGCGTGATTGCAAAATTCGCGTCTGATCATATCGCAAATCTTAAAGTTAGAAAATAATGTTCTCTTATATAAACGCGAGTTTCTCCATATTTATTTATTAAAATTAATATAAGCATAAATTATGTACGCTTTGTTTGGAAAATTGCAAGTTGATGCGGAGCAATATCGATCGCGGTGGCCATTGAAATATATCCCTATTTTATCTCTTACAAATTTTATGCCATAAAGCTGGGCGTATACTTCATAATAGCCGATAAAACGGAACAACGTTATATGCATCGAACAAAATAATGCTTTTAAAACACATTTCATCCTCGAATATATTGATACACGTATTATGAATTCGATACCGCATTTTTTAATTGGAAAAATTAGTTTTTTTCATAATTACACAAAATTCGTTTCCTTTTAATTTAAAAACGTTTTTTTACGCGCCGTACACGTATAACAGTTTAATATCGTTGAAATTGTTCTTTCAAGTACAATTCAACACAAATATGACAAAGCGAAATTACATTTGAATTGAAACAAATATTTCGATCTGTAGGAAATAGATTTTTCCTGAGCGTACAGGTTTCGGTTCTTCTTCGATATCGTAGAAATATCAACTTTGGTATTCAAGGATACGAAGGGGAGGAGATACCTGCATTTACCGAAAGTACGGCAAGCAAGTTTCATAAGTTCCATCGGAGCACTGTGTCCTAGAATGAAATTTCCTAAGTTACGCCGTTAGATAGCTCAAGCGCTTTTCTCACTTTAAATCGCATGAATAATATTTTTCTATTATCGGGGCCAATCTTATCTAGAATGCCGTGAAAGATTGCGTGATAAAAACGTCGTACTTAAATAATATCGTGTATAAATGGTTATATTTATATATATATGTACAATAATCGGGACAATCAATTCGCGAAATAAATTAATTAACATTTCAGTCACGGTTGCTTCTTTCTATTAAATAGATGCGTTTTTCAACGATATTCAATTATTTATTATGTGATGCGAAAAGTCATATCACGAACTCACTGGCCGCGGAACTACAGCTTTTCGAGTAATTTACGGTTCAAGTTATAAGAGGATTTTTAGGATTACTCACGAAAGGACGTAAAATTTGGGATCTTGCCAGGCGCAGTAATTGCTGGATGGCACGGGCTTCACCGTAACAACGTGAATTTTCGGGCCGCTCGATCGATAGGTCGAATTGCCTTCGCGTTCGACTCTATCAGCACTGGCCCTTAGCATCGAGGTCAGGGATGCGCGATCGCATGTACCCGGCAGGCAGAGACCCAAAAACACCTGACGTGTCTGGAAAGAAAATGAAATAATCTCGTTAGAAAAGAGTATTTTTTGTTCCTTAACGAAAATTACTTCATTAATAAGTGAATCTTGTAGAATAGAAATCCTTCTGTTTTTATATCTTTATATACTTGTGGCAAAAAATGCTAACCATTTTAAAAGAAGATACTGGTGATTGATTTATTAAAAGGTGCGCTGTTTACAAAAAAATTTAACAGAAATACGCATGCATATTTTATGCATATTTCCTATATGACTGCATTGTATCATATATTTCGTTGTCTACACATTTTTACACATGAGAGGAAGTAGGACGGAATTTTAGATTTTCCGTAAGAAGATTCGAACGGTAATCTTCCGCATCACAAAAAGTTCACGTATTCGCGTAAAAATATGATGATAGTCGAGCTCGTTCAACGTTGGAGATTATAATTTTCATTTAGTCGCGTCGACGTGCAGTAATGGAAATGAGAACGCGTGACGATGGAAAAAAACGTAGTTCAAACTACTTCTATTGGTTCTTGTAATAGCGTACTATGTGCAGTTCTATTTTTCTTTTTTTTCCCCTCTCTTACCGTCACCGGCGAGAGAGAAAGGATTCCAGCTCAGTAATGCTGAATTTATTGAAACTGGTCCTGGATCGAAATACGACAGGTGCTCTTTTTTTTAATTAGTAGTAACTTACACTCGATAAATTGTGCGGATCATAGTCCGCAAATTGCATAATCGCTTAGTTAGGAAATTTTATTAATTAAGCACGTAATGATATCGTCAAACTCCGCAAGGATAACAAGATTAAAGGCGGGTAGCAACGGATTTCCAGCGAAACAACTACCGACGAACTTTGAGATTGAAGTCAGCGAATAATCTTATTAGTGCAAATGCCGAAACTTACTTTTCCTATAGGAAATAAACTGGCTGCCCAGCTGTTACTCTGACTTAACAAAAATGCACCGATATGCGCTCAATATTTTCTATTACTTTCGATAAGTTCGAGATTTTCTAATATTAAAATTTCATTCGGTTTTTATTATGACATATATATTGGTTTTCATTATACGCACACTTGCAGAAAGAAGATATTGCTGAAATATCTAAAAATTTAGCTTGGTACAAATCTGAAAATAAATTTGATTGGACTATATTAAAATAATTATAGTGCTAGCTGCTTAAATATCAAAACTTTTTGCAGCATTGTTTATTATATTTGAATTTTTACAATTATTTGTGTGATTCAACAAAATTATTTTCAGATCTGTATCTAGTTAAATTTTTTAATATTTCAGCAAAATCGTTCTTTCTGTACACAAATAATTTTGTATTTCTTATCTACACGTAACATATATTATTCCTTATATTTTAAATTAATTGTTAATAAGGTAAATGTACCAATTAGTGGACAGTTAGGAGATATGACACAATTCGTTGGACAAAGGGGTACAAAATTGTCAATATTAAACTTTTAATGATATGTACAACTTCAAATAAATTTATTGTTTATAAAAATTTAATTACAAATTAATTTAAAATCGTACATATCATCAAAAGCTTTATATTTAAAATGTTTTATCACTTTGTCCAACAATTGGTTCATGTACATTAACTAGTACATTTACCTTAATTATTAATAAATCGTATAAATAATTTAATGTAGGATAAGTTTTCTGTTGGATTATTCAATCTGATTATTTGTTGTATATTTTTCACGCTTTTAATTTGAAAATAATTTACGAATATATATAATTATATAATGAAACATTCAAAAAAGAAAATGAATCACTGCATTTTTTTTACAGCTTTTATCTTTTTAATCCATAAACAATTTTTCCTAAATTTATAATTTATTAAAGTAACAATTTCATTTCTCTCTCTCAATTCTCTCTTCTCTTAAACTTAACAATTTGGTGTACACAAGATATGTAACTTTTATATTTAATCAATTTTCTTTGTACTGATTTACTGAAGAGGACCTTTTAACCGTAGATCGAAACGTATGTACACACTTTATTATTCATTTCGAATAAATTTTATATTAAAAAAAACACACACTTGTAGATCTAAATAGTTCTAATAACTTGTGTCGGCTCATATTGGTATTTTATTGATTTTTTTGGATAAATATTTCGATTCACATATTCCAGTCTTTTATCACATACGATTCGTCGTTTGTGTCCCGAGATAATATTTCCATCATTTTTACAAGTATTCAAAAATTATTAAGTAATTCTTACATATTTTTTATACGTAATAAAACGTTTTTATAATGTACTATATATATATATGTATTATTATATATTATACAATATTTGAGTTATGTAGTGAAAAAGGAAAAAAATTTAAACTATTGCTTAGTAAAATGCTTCTAATATATTTTAAAGAAAAGAATTGTACAAGTACGCGACTGATCCAATCGTGTGTATTAAGGACTAAACTCACTTATGCGCTTTACAATTTGTGTCGACACATTCAAAATAAATTCTAATTTATATAATTTTAAATGCCTTGCCGTACAAAATGTTTCAAGAACTAAATTGCATATATATAAAATATATATTAAAATAACAGATCAAAAATAACAATTATCATAAAAATTTGATCTAAAAAAATCATTGATAAGAAGTTGGTATTTATTCACAGAGAAAACAATCATCACTAAATATTAAAGAAATTGTTCAATAAATGTAATTATTCATAAGATATCAACTTTTATATATTCTGGCTATGAATAACCATTATGAATGATTAAAATTATTTTTGGTTGCGAATAACTATTGCTGATGTTGGAAATTATAAAATTAGAAATTACAGATTACAGAATAACCTACAGAATAACATTACTGATAACGAAATTGTTTTTGGGGTTATGAATAACTATTATAAATGATTAAAATTATTTTCGATTGCGAATAATCATTATTGATGTCGGAAATTGCTTTTAGTTATCCGTCATCAGTAATGATTATTCTGTAAGCAAAACAATTTCCAACATCAGCAATAGTTATTCGTAACCAAAAATAATTTTAATTATTTATAATGGTTATTTATAGCCGGAATCACTTAAAGGGAAATATAATTGTGTGTGTGTGTGTGTGTGTGTGTGTTATGTTACAACTTTTTTTATTTTGGTTATACAGTTACGGCCTCTGATTAAAATACATATATATATATATACATCAAAATACACCATACACACAACACAAACACAGCTCAGATAAAATTATGAATAAAATTTTTATTATATATATAATAAAAATTATGAATAAAATTTTTATTATATATATAATAAAAATTATGAATAAAATTTTTATTATATATATAATTTAACTTTAACATAAATCATAAATCTAAACTTAATGTGCTAATGACTCCGTAAGCAAAGTAAAAATATCTTATGAAATGAAATAAATGATTTACTAAGCGACGATTTAATGTAGAAATTGATCAATTCATCCTTGAAAAATATAGAAAGAAAGTGATCAAAATCATAAAATTTAAAATATCTCCTTTATCGCTGAAACGATTATAACGATTTTTTATACACAGATCAACAAATCAAAAAAGCACATTCTATGTGAAATACAGTTAAAATAATAAATAGTAAAGACTCTTGTCTTTCAAAAATAAAATTATAAGAACAAGGACAAGTAAGAGTCGGTAATAAAATTTTTATACAAATTTAAAATCAAGATATAAAATATTATTAAGTTAAGTTAACATATTAACAAACGCCAAAAAGTATAAGAAATTATGTAAAAAAATTATATATGTCAAGACATTACATGTTTCTGGTTTGGATCATCCTCAGATGATAAAAGACATTGAATGAAATAATGGAAATATAATTGAGGATCAAACTAAGTTTTTAAGATTATCATATTAAGTCAGTTGAAGATAAATCCTTTTTCCGAGTGATACCAGAGTTGCTCGCAAACGATTAACTCTGGTATCACTCGAAAAAAGGATTCATCTTCAACTGACTTAATATGATGTTTGTTTCTTAATTATATTCTATTATTTCATTCAATGTTTTTTTATCATCTGAGGAATGGTCCAAACTAGGGACTGAAACTTGTAATGTCTTGACATATCTACATATATTTTTTTTATATAATATTCAATACTAGAGACCGTTAATATAAGAACATAACTAATACAAATACGAAACCTATAACAGCTATTTTCAGATTATTAGAGTTGCGTTTCAAGACCGACGATTGTTCGGCGTGCAATTTGGAGGGACTACGTATATCAGTTAATTATTAATTTAATTTAATTCGTGATAGTATTGCGGTAGTTTATATGTAAGCGATTAAAAGATCCAAGCTAGACTGTTATAGGCTTCATATTTGTATTTTTTACATAATTTCTTATACTTTTTGGCGTTTGTTAATATGTTAATTTAACTTAATATTATAATATTTTATATCTTGACTTTAAATTTGAACTCTTGAGCGATGTGCACTTTTAGGCGGTCTTACGCCATCATTATCTCCCAAAACGCGATCTTACTGAAATATTACAATTAGAGATTAGCGAATGCACCTGACGACCCGAAATCTTTGCCAAAATTCAAAATGTTGATGGATTTACGTGAAACTTGATATCTAGGGGTTTTTGAGGTCGCTGGTTCCGAATCTAATGTTAAAAACAAAAAATTCAAAATGGTAGATCCAATATAGCGGCTATAATTACGAAATTTTGACGGATTTGCGTGAAACTCGATCTCGATATAGTGAGGCCTCTCGAAGTGGCAACTAGGGATACATCAGATACCAGATATGTACCATATCTGGTTGGATAGTTGGTATTATTTTAACATTATTGCATTGCTTACTTAAGAAATAGATGATGAACAAGTTGAATTTCAAAGAAAACTTAGTGACATATCTAATAAAAAAAATGCATGAAACTGAACTTGAGAAATATTTGGCATTGTCTCTAATAAAAAGGACAAATAATCCGGAACGATATTTTTTCCACCACGATACAAACATATCATGATGGAAAAA